GATCTATTTTTTCTAGTTTAAATGAGTTAAACAAAAATATGAAAATACTACGTTGTAGAGGAAGAGCTTCTCTACATAAATAATTTCGTTGGGAAGTATTACGCCACGCCAAATAATTCCGTTTTGTGACGAACTTCGTCGGGTGTGTCGAGGGTATTTTCCCAAACTTCCGCGTCATACAGTGACACCGACTTGAGGAATGTAGCGACTCATTTAACTTTAGAAGTCAAATATTCGTGTTTTTTTCTGCCTGTCACAAGAATAGGTTCAGTTTTGCTCTCAGCTAAGGTAATTTCCATTGAATCCAGCCATTCTCCTGACAGTGGGCACCTTTAAACTACTATATTATCTTCATTCGGTCCATTGCGTAGCTGTACTGCATCATGCATTATATAGGGTGTTTCATCTAGACCTTGTTTTGTTTTTTATTTTTAATAAAGCACTTAAAACTGAACTGGATGTATGCACCTTTTTTATCAACCGAAAGAAAGATATCTGACACCGCACCATGATAACGACCTTTTTATTCTCTGAAATTGGCTTTGACGAGTTATCATGCGATATCACGCCTCTGAATTACTTTTCTTGGGTATATGTGAAGTCAGAAGCCTTCGTCGATAAGCCAGATACGATTCAAAACTTGGAAGCCAACATTACTCGCTTAATTCGCGCAATGCTGGAAAGGGTAATTGAAAGTTGGTTCTTCCGAATGGACCACCTACAGCGTAGTCGCGGCCAACATTTGAATGAAATTATTTTTAAAAAGTAAAGGTCTGATAATTTTATTTCGGGTAACAATAAAGATGGCGATTTCCAGTTCGGTTTTAAGCATTTTATTTCAAATTAAAAAAGGTCTATAGTTTAATCGCTTAGGTGGTTACAGCGCAAATAAGGAAGGAGAAGAATCGAGTCAATAGCGACCGCCGTAGTCGGGAGGTTAGAGGTACGTACTGTCACTCGATTAAACGGAGGGAATAAGCTTTAGTATTCGCTGTTTGTCAGATTAGAAATACAACCACATCTAGAAGCGTTATCAGGTTCGAACCTCCTCGTCCTCCTGAAATATTTTGTCTAGGTTGCTGGAATAATGGATTTTTGTAGAAATGGGGCTGTGTGGGTTAAAGTGTAAATGCAATTAAGCTAATGTCCGTCGAAATATGACTAAAAGGGCCTTGAAGAGAAGATATAAGCTCAGTTCTTGAATAAAAGCACTGCACCTAGATATACATACCGCACACCGTCCTCAAAAGGGGCACAACTCAAAATGACACGTTTGTCAGAAAATGCAAAAAACTATTTTTTAGCACATGCTAATGATATGGCCAAAGGAGACGTTATCTTAGGTTTTTAAAATGATTATAACAAAAGTTTGCTCCAGATTTTACTGAAAGGTAAATAAAAAGCTCTGTGTACATTCTTAGCGCATAATTTCAAAAATATCAAATTTTTAGTTGTGCCTCTTTTGAAATGCAGGCAGCAAAGTTATATTATCTAAAGATTATTAAATCAATTAATTTAGGTCCAAAACAACCAAAAAGGAGTAATCTAGGTCCCTTTAATTTGATAATTTATTAAGATCCATTTGAATTTTGTTTATTTCCTTTTAAACCGACCTACAAAAAAAGGAGGAGGTTATCAGTTCGTCGGAATGTATATATTTATATTTAATTTTTTTATGCATATTACCGCATAACTTGCATCGGAAAGGTAGTGTCTAAGAGGTTGTCACATACTAATCTGGTTTATATCTGATCATTGGATCATGAAATATATATATACATATTTTTTTTTTATATGAGAATTGAAGTCGGTTTTGTGTTGCTAAAAATTACCTGTGTAAAATTGATTAAATAATTGCTTACTTATTTGCTAAACTCAATGCCCCAATTTGTGCGTGACCTAATCCCGGAAACCACTAACGTATTTTAGAGAAACAACTTCATCTAAATAAGCTTCTCGTTAATGTTTCGAGGCAACAACTCAAGTAGCACTCTGGTGTATAACTTGGTGTAAATTTACGAATTTTGGTACAAATCTGATTAATTGTACCAAAATTCACAAAATTACACCAAGTTATACACCAGTGTACTTCTTGAAAAGCGAACTAAAAATATTTTAATTAGTTAGTTACATACCTCCACATACATACTTATGTATAACTAGATAGATAGTTTTATTTCATACAGACTCCATAGTTAGCTGATTATTTATAATTTTCTTTGTATGTGTTTCCGACAGTATGGGAGCATAATGTATTGTGGAACGATTTTCCGTCATTCGAGAACGAAATATGACACTGAAGATGACACAACGCCGAAATCACTTTGTCTCATAACCGAATTTGACAAGCGATGACGGAAAATCGTTCCACAATAGATAATATCGAGCCCTAACCGCCAAAAAGGCGTAAGCGACAAAAAGTAAATTTTTCAGTAGGCGTTTTTTTCTTATTTACACAGCAATTACTGTAGATACTAACGTGTAGATTAATGAAAAAGTTAATATTGATATTAGGTATATTATACTGGTGGTTTTATTTGTCCATCTTTAATGAAACAGGTGATTTTGTCGCTTACGCCCTTTTTGCCGTCACAAAAAAAGGCTACAGCACGCAATTGCGGCGGATTACCCAAAAGAGATATAAAAGAAAAACACCTTTTTTGTCTTATTGGAGTCATTTGACGCGAAAATCCCCCGGCTGAACCCTCAGATGTCAGAACGGTGTCCAGTAAAAATCAGAAATCAGTGTCATTTGCCAACGCTCCTCAATGGAAATGGTTTTTAATCGTGGCCTATGGAGGTAAAGAAGGACCAAACCTCTCGAAAAAGGCTCTGGGTTGGAACAAGGTGTTAGACGACCCGTGCTGATGTTTAGCCTGGCTGGGGAGGGGACCCAGATTAATAACTAGCCCAGTCTCGAACTGAGTGCTCCGGATACCTGGCGACCACCGGTTTTATCTAGCTCTATTTTTGCACCCGAACCTCTGTGCAAGCAGACCTCCTTTGTCCGATATTCGTGGGACCAAAATTATGAGTGAAATTTCCAAAAAAAAAAGAATCAATAAGGATTACGGTCCATCAAAAAACTGACAGGGTTGGCTTCGACTTCGGCTTCAGCCTCGAGCAAGGCAGGGGTCAGACCGCCATTGTTAGGGGGCAGAGGGGCTTAAGCGACGGGGCTGGTCCTAATACGAGCGACGCAGGAGGCAGTGTGAGGAAAGGAGGTCCTGGGTAGACCGGTCTACAATCATTTGATGGCTGGAGCACGGGGCAGGTACCAATGTTCCACTGTGTGAAATCGGGTCATGGCAAGCTGCAAATTAAGGCGTAGAAATAACATAATTCACGAGGCCAATTGGTCGTGGTTAGGCGAGGGTACTTGTACAACAACTAGAATACTATGGCCGCAAATTGATAGGAAAAAAACCGAAGAGCTGCTCAGTCTCTCAAGGGAGGATATTTCGATGGTCATGGCTTGTGTAACCGGTCATTGGCTATTTGGTGAGCGCGCTTCGAGATTAGGAATATTCTCCCATGAATATTGCAGAAGTTGCAGAGATGAAGAAGAAACAGTTGAGCACTTCTTCTGTAGCTGCCCAGCTTTAGCTAAGAGCAGAGCGGGCTTTCTAAGTAGGCACTTTTTCAGCTCTTTCATGGGACTATCCGGCGTAGGAATAAAACCAATCCTACGCTACATAAGAGCTTCAAAATGGTTATGTGCAGAATAATCACTGAGGTTCCCGTGTTTCACAGTGGTATCACAATTGACCTCCAAGGTCTAAGTGAGTTAGTCATTGGACCGACTGCCACATCAACCTAACCTAACATAAGAAACGAAGGTCAACTAACTCTTCAGAAGAATCGGTGTCGCTGTATGGAACGAGTGCGCCTTTAGTTAAGCTCTGCAACAACCAAGTATTTTAACCCCATATACATTTATTATATTTTTATCCTTTTGACTCAAAATCTTTATCTACCACAAAAATATGTATTTACCTTTGTATGCAAATAGTCCATATTTGGAGAAAAAGACTTAACCGACACTGCGTGCACAAAAAATGTAAACAGCGCACAATAGGGCACTTAAGCCAAAATTTCTTTCTCTATCAGCCCTGTTCTGCATTTCGACTCGACTTGAAAAGTAAAACGACACACATTCCGACTCATTATTGTAGTGGTGTTCTCAATTCCGAGTGAGTTCGAACAAGTTAGAAATCGTTTTCGCATCGTTTTTATTTTGATTCGGTAATAAGTTGCAACAGCTGTTGTCAGTTATTTGTGTAAAAATTAATTAAAATCTGCATGAAACTGAAAAAATGCCAGTGCCAATCATCAGCTAAGAATGCATGTGGACATATTCCAAAAGTTGGACTCCAAGCAACCCTTCAATGTTATTTTCTTAATCTAACTCGATCTGTAGATACCTTTTAGGTTTATAGGATCTTATCGCATAAATAAAGATGTTTTTAAAATAGTTTAGCCCAGAGACATCGTTTTATTTCACCGAAACACAACTGGCAGC